TCTTTGTTATGTTTTAGACTGTACCGGTATCTATCCCATGGTAATTTACTTGTTATGATTCTATTTTTATAGATATTTGTTAACTATATCATCTATTTTAATTCAGCCTCTATGAAACGTCATATCGCTGCTGCAAAGGATAGCATTTTACAAGTGACGGAATTCTTTAAAAGCATCAACCCATGTATTAAACTTAGAATTGGTTTTTATGGCTATCGTGACCATTGTGACGGTAGCTCTCGATTACAAAAATTTAATTTTACAAGCTCGTGTGAGGAATTCAGAGCAAATTTGACTACCGTAAAAGCTACGGGTGGTGGTGATGAGCCCGAAGACGTTCTTGGAGGTCTTAATGCTGCTATAACTGAAATGGAATGGGGTGATGGTACTAAAGTTCTTTTCCACATTGGTGATTGTCCACCACACGGTAGACGTTTTACCACTCTGAAAGATACTTATCCAGATGGTGATCCAAATGGGTTAACAGCAGAGTGTGTATTAGAAAAAATGCAATCAAAAAACATCTTTTATGTGTTTGGAAAAATTACGAAAAAGACTGATACCATGATTGAAGTATTTAGTAGTATTATTGGTGAATTTCAAATCTTTGAACTTGTTGGCGATGATCCACTTGAATTGATTAATAAATTTGTCGCTGCAACTACAAAATCTGTTAATATGTCTGTTAATATGTTTATTACGTTAACTCCCTTTAGTAAGGGCGACTATAATGCACGTTTTCCGCGGGAAGGACGTGATATTAACCCAAATGTACCTGACTGGGAGCGTTTATTACCTCGAAAAGGAATAATGTTATGCTATTATCTCCCTAAAAATATTGAGGAACTTAAAAATACATTATACTTTGAGAAAGAAAATCTCATTGCTAAATACTTTGATTTCAAGATTGCACAGGAGCCATTTGCCGAAGGTGAAGAAAGATATGGCTATTTCGCTATTAATACTAAATGCAATCCACCCAGGCGAGTAGTAATGAAAGAGTTTTTGAGTGAAAGAGAAGATACATTTGAAAAATATCTTGAATCTATAGAGATCTCTGCTATAACTACTTATCTTAGTATAAAATTCAATTCAGCTGCAGGAAGGAAAAACATTCCACTCGTAAATTTTGTTAGAGTACATCTTGTGCGTGCTACAATGAGTAGCAGGACGGTTTATTATTCCGTGGAGCCAGAATTACAAGGTGCAGAGTTTAGAAGGTTCAATTCAAATAGTGGATTTATTACAGAGTATCGTCCTGTTCTTGAGGCATTCAGTCATTTTACATATCAACACACAGATGGATTTTTGGTCGTTTGTGATCTTCAAGGAATTGAACTTTCAGAAGTTGAACATCATGCCAGTCGGTTCTTATTGACTGATCCAGCAATACATTGCGTTGACCCTTTAAGGTTCGGTAAAACAAATTTAGGCAAGGATGGAATTAAAAGGTGTTTTTTGGCTAACCATCGGTGTAATGATATTTGCAATAAGTTACACCTAAGAAGAATTGATAATGCGTAAAAAAATTGATCCTAAAAAGTTCGCAGAGTAAACATGAATTGATGGAAAAGGGGATACTATAGGATATTTAGCATATTAATTTTTGAATTATATGTTAATAAGCCGTTCATATATGCTAATATAGTTCACTTTGTCAAAACCTATCGATAGTTGTCAAATTTTTAAAAAAAGTCAATCCACCTTGTTGTTTTTGATAATGATAACCTTTTAAAACTGATTCATAACCCGTCTATCATGTATATCAACTATGTATATCAGCTTTGACAGGATATACTGTGTATTGTATTTAAATTTAGGCCGTTCAAAGTTGATTATTAGTTTAACGTCATCCCCCCCTCACAGTTAACTGTCCCCCGGAAATTAAACAGCCAACCACAACACAGAATAAAGTTCATTAATCATGTAAATAAGGTTGGCTAATGAGATTTGATCAAATATTCTTGGGAATATATGTGTTTGTTTAATTTCCCCCCCTCCCCTCGTACCTGAGCCCAAAATATTGACGTTAAACTAATAATTAACTTTAAACGGCCTTACCTTCAGATTATATTAATCTTTATCAATTAAAAAAACGATCACGTATATTTTGTGTTTCAGACTAATGTCTCATAGGAAGTCAGATTTATGATAGTTATTTGACTAGATAAACTGATTAGGGTAAACTGTATATTTATTCTGAGATTCTGAGCAATTTTTAGTTTGAAAAAGTAAAGATAATTAATAAATCATTTTGACCAATCGTTAATATGATTCTGTGTATTTGAACAGCAGAGACAGTGCCCGATCCAGAATGAATTCCTCTCTCCTGTGATCAATCACAAATTAAAGTATTTATTTTGGATTCAATTGTGATGGATATAATCCCTCACCAGTTTTAATATATGTGTAGTATTTAACGGTCTCTGCTGTTGTGTATTTGTTATACTCAATTCACGGATTCATGATCCACATTGATATTGTTACGACTAGGGAGAGCTTTTGTATTTCCAAGCCAATTTAGTCCAGCGCCGTAAGCATAAATCCTGATGGCAAGTAGCACAACCCGGATTCGTATGTAGTAATAATTATCGATTAATAAGACTATATTCGGAAGTGGTCGTTACGGGTTATGCTAGGTCCGAGTTAGGTCACCACAGGTTACGTTTAGGTTCGAGTTAGTTCGCCGCAGGTTACGTTAGGTTCGAGTTAGGTTACCGGTTGGTTACTATGTGCTACTTAATAGACAAGATCAGTGCGTATTATGTATTATCGGGTACAAAATAAGAAAGAACTAGGTCACGTATCCACTGTAATTATTACTTGAGCAGAGTAAGAAAGAGTTTGGAAGAAGTTTGGAAGAGTTTTTTTTTATTTACTAGACAAACGCCCTATTTATACATTTAGATGTTTAAGGGTTTCAAACCCGGATCTGGGGTTTCGAACCCGGATCTGGGGTTTCGAACCCAGATCCCGGGTTTCAAACCTTAATCCCGGGTTTCGAACCCGTACACGTGCTATTACTATCGTAACTACGTGATTTACTACTTTTACACAGAGGGATAAAGAAACTATATTGCGAAAATGCAAGGTACGAAAAATTTGACAAAATTTTTCGTAACAATGGTAGTTTGAATACTGTTGAGTGACATTCAAATTATGCCATTCAATTTTTAAATTTTCAGTGGACTATGCATAATCTTTAAATGTATAACTTTGTACATTAGCAAAAGTTAATCTTAAAGTTTTATGGGTATACAATTATTAGTTATTAGTTTACTTCATGTACTTTATTTTTTTAAAAAATAAACAAAAAATTTTCAAAAAAAGTATGAATTTTAGTTTCATTACTGGATCTTTTTCAAAAAAATAAGCTACTAAGTTTTTTTAATAGTTAAAAGATAAGCCAGAAGTCAAATTTTGTTTGACGAACTTCACGCCATATAGTTCCAGGGCTTCATCAAAAGCTAGATAGTGATTCTCCCTGGTAAAATTTACTGAAACAACATGTTTAAGCAATTCATATTGCTGTGGGTAGCATGATATCAATTCTAAAAAGAATATTACTGACATTGCATAATTGCTTTTCCCAGTAGCAGAAAATAGAGGTGCAAATGCTGCCAAACTTTTTAATTGCATGTCTATATTTTCTGAATAAATTCCTGCACGATAAGCTTTCTAGTACCCAGCTAAACGGTAATATAAGTACCAAACTTTTATGGTATTATTGCTTCTATTTATTATGACATTTTCTAATACCGTATTATTTATCTCTTCTTGTATCATATTATTCTTTTTTTAGATAAAGATGAATTGCTATACCTACAGCAGCATGTATTAATTCTAATACATTGCAGGTTGAACGATTATCTACATTTTGCTCTAGCTTATCAAGAAATTTAACACCAAGTTTTGCTGCCATACTATATAAACTATATCTGCTAAATGCAGCAATTAAAGCACTACACATAGCTTTCGATGTGTGCCACTGCCTAAGAATAAATCAGCAAGTTAAATTTTCATTTTTATATAATTTAGTTCTTCCAAAAATAGCAGCATCACATGCTAAATCAATATCTTGACCAAGATCTTTTAAAAACATGTCATTTGATTCGAATACGGCTTTATTACTGTTAGGTGCTGGCTTGGGTTCTAGTATAACAAGATTTGGTGGGTTTACTCGACATCTGACTCGATATTAGCAAATATTTCTGCATCAATCTCTTTAATTCTGAAGTTCCTTTCATTTTTATTTAATAGTTGTCTTATTATTTGGTCAAATTTTATTTCTCATTTAGTTGTAAATTCTGATTTACTGAACAAATTTTTTTGAGATTCCAGATCTTAACGTTCTTGAGCAAGACTTGACAATTCAAACGGAAGTTCAAACTGAAATATCAGTCTTAGAGTGGTATATCACCTTGTGACATCATAAATATTGCTATATTGAAAAACAATATCCTTGAAATCAATATTATTAATTACTGCAACATTCCAAATATTTGGTCCTTTTATTAATTTTGTTAATAGATTATATTTACTAACATGCTCTTTTTCTAATACTGTTTCATATTTCCATGTATAGAACGTTATATATACCAAATAAAGTATTGCTTGCAAGGAAGAAAACAATTTTGGTCACTTGCATAAGGAAGTCATAGTAAAAGTGAGCTATATTTTTCATGAATAAAAGGTGATTGTTAAAATAATTGATGCAAAAAATGCTGTTATTTTTTTTATTGGTTCTTTATGAAATTTTGATTCTTTTTGCCCACACTGTTTTTGTTTTCTTTCTCTAACTGTTTCTTTATATTTTTCAATAGACTCAACTAATCTATCAAAAAAGTTGGTAAGGCTAAAGGAAAGCTATTATAATATTTATCTAACGAATTTATATTTTCTAAACTTTTACGATGTTGCTCAATATTTTTATGTGAGTTACATATAAAATTTCCTAATGCTTCTCTGTGCTGTCTGTATTTATCTGCTTTTACATATTTTTTATCTGTAGATAAATAATAATCAAATGCATTAATCTTCATAGCGGTTTTTATGAGTAGCGGACTAGGTAAACAATTTGTTGTATTTGTAAAGAATAACTCATTTGCGTTTTGATTTTCTAATAATGTATCATATGCAACACTACTTCTTTTTTTTGATTTTCATTTTCAGAATATGAAAGATTTAACAACCACCGTGAGAATAATTTTAAAGCTTGGTTAGTATCATCTTTATGCAAGTCGTTTTTAACACATGTTTGAGACTTTTTTCCTTCACATTTATGAATATGTCTGCCATTGCTTTCAAAACACTTTGCACAAATATATCAGACACGATAGCTATTAGCAATTCTTGAAGAGATGTTTGTAATTTTTTAAAAGCGGAACACGATTTTAAACTGATATATGGTACTTGAATATTTCTTCTTCATATACTCCAATTATATTTTCCACAATCATCACCTCTACTAAAGAAGTTTTTATATTTATTACAGAGTAAAAATTTTTTATTTTAATTACACTCTGACTAAGGCCTCTAATTTGTTTGGCATAAGATGAGTGAAGTTTATTTTGATCAAAATTAAAATAGCTAAAACAGACGTCTAAAGTAGCTATATTAGAATTTTCTTCCTGTGTTAATTCTATTTCCCAAGTTCCAACTAATTGAGATACTGATCTTAGATTATTAATTGAATTATAGCGCCTAATTTCTCCTTTTAAATTACCGATAATAACACAAGGTGATCGTTGATTTTCTTCTATATTTAAAAATTGGCGATCTATATACTCATCTTCAGATAATGAATTTTCACTATCATCATCATATTCTATTATTTCTGAAGAATCTTGTTCTTCTAACCAATGTTTTGCCTTCATAGCAGCCAAATAATCATGAACGAATAATGGTTCATCTTGGTCAGTACTGAAACTTTCATCAAAATCTTCATCTATAGAATAATCATAGTAATTCTCCATTTTCAATAACAAAGCAAGGTTTTGCTAAAAATTTAAAGAGAAGTATTTTTTGCAAATATTTGTAATTTGTTGGTAACGGCAGATAGAGGATATCCATGCTATTTATATATAATCAAATTGACTAATTTTATAATTTACTTTAGTTGCGAAATGATTAAATTTTGCATATTGCAATTTATATGTGCAATCACTTGATTGTCATTGATTGTGCAATTTTAAAGTGATCATTTTATTGTGGCTTGCAAAATGTGAAATTTAAAAAAAAAGTAATCCTAATTTCTGGTTACTGATCTCTGATTTCTTCATTTTTTTTGACTTTTAGACTGGACAAAATTTGCACATTTATCATTTGCAAAAATTTGATTGGATATTTTAATGCACAACATCTAGTATTGCAAATATATGGGGTCTTTACCTTGAAAATCACCTTCTGACATTTTCGATTAGATTAATTCAGACAAAAATAAACCTGAGTACTAGTTCATATTTATATGTTAATCATCTTTTAACTTTATTGATTCAATTCAATAGTTTATCGAATAACTATTGAACCAATATAAAAGATGATTAACATATGAACATGACCCAATAGGAAGTATCAAAAGGAGATTTTCAAGGCAAAGACACCATATTACAAAATGATTAATAAGCATAAAACCAGAGATAATCATTAATTGATTAGACCAGTTATAATCAACCAATTAGATACGCAAAATTTTGTCTAATCTAAAAGTCAAAAAAAATGTTGAAGAAATCAAAAACTAGTAATTATTTTTTTTATGATCTTTAAATTTCACATAATTTTACAAACCGCAATAATCAAAAATTTAATACAAGTAAAATAATCAATCAGGCAACAATTAGATGATTATACATGCAAGCTGCGATATGCAAAATTTGATCAAAGATACATCATTTCATAAACTATGATAAATAAGACTTTTTGAATAAGGAGCAAATAAAATTTTATAATGGTTTTAAAATACAAACTTTATGAATATTACTCTGTTTAGTTTTTGTATGCTTTCGAACAGAGACCTTTTTATTATATATTCACAGCTATCAGAAGTATAACATATCGTAATGAATTAAAAAAAATTACAATAGAATTTATAACTATATTATAATATTTGATTCAAAAAATGTATTTTATTTTTTTTATTTATTACAAAAAAGAAAATAAATAAAATCAAATTATCACTATAATTAATTATTTTTATTCATATATAATTTGAAATAAAATTGTATATAGTTAATTTATAAATGAGAATATAATGATACACCCATTGAATAATATATCATTTTCGCCTTTTTTGACAAATTCTCATTGAATGGTGTTAAATATGCCCAGTGCAAGTTTGCCTTCCTCAACCCTTGGGCTATTCTCACAAATAATAACATCAAACTCACCCAGTAATTATTGTTTTTTTCAGTTACATGAAGCCCAAACTTTAAAAAAAAATAATAATACCATACAGCACGGACTATAGTACCCACATCAAAGTACCTCTATAAAAATTTTTCACAGTCGAATGCAAGTTACCCGGGTACTTTACAAAGTAAACTTCCTGGGTATTAACTAAGTAGCATATGACATTGCTAAGTAAATACACTTCTTATATAATACCCGGGTACTAACTTGGATTGTAGCCATGGAATGTATTATATCCGGGGTACTATAGTCTGCGCTGTACGATATTTAACTAAAAAAACAGTACAATGCAAAAAAAAAACTGATATTAGACCAGTTCTAAGTCACAGCATGTCTCATTTCTGGTGCTAATCTCATATAAAACCTAAGCTACAAAAAAAAATTAGTTTTGACTAAAAAAGAAAGAAAAATAACACAATGCAGTAGGAAAAAATTGATAATTAGACAATTCCAAGCCAATCGTGTTCAATTTCATTGCCCGGTGTTAGTCTCACATTGAAATCTATCTTAAAAAAAAAAATTAGTTTCGACCAAAATAAAAGAAAAAAAAATATTAAACAAGAGAAAATGAAACTAGTACTTGTAATTAGACCAGTTCCAGCTATATCTGATATCCCAATCCATTGCCCGATGCTAATCTCACGTCAAAACCTAATCTACAAACAAAAGAGTTGGCTTAACCAGTTCAAAGTTCCTAGCCACTTGTACAGTACTAACTTCACAGTAAAGCTAAATCTACAAAAAAATTTATGTTCAGTAGAAATAAAACAAAAAAATATATATATATATAGATGCTTTTCATGTTAGTAAAGAGCTACCTGCTACAAGAAAAAGAATTAGTTTCAACTAAGTGAAAAAATAAACATATAAAAAACAGAACTATTTTAGATCAGTTCCTATTTCTAATGTCTAATGCAATTTCGAAACTCAAGCCTACAAAAAAAAGTGTTTGTTAGTTTCAGACGAGAAAAAGAAAAAAAAACATAATATAAGAAAGAAAAATAAAAATATTAGACTAGCTTTTGGCAATGTTTGATCTCCATTATCTGTAAGATCGATCTCCATTACCTGCAAGATCTTAAAGATCTTAAAAGATTTTACCTATAGTAATGAGCAAATCTTGATGAAAGTGGTTTGG